GAGACATTTGTATTTTGACGCTCACTTCATACCGGTACACCTGGTAGAAATATATTTGCTCTAATCGATTGGAACATTCGCACAGAATCTACTGTAAGCTTGATTTAAACATTTATTTTTGCGATTTTGAGTGGTCTTTTCATTATTATTTCGAGTGAAAATATTATCACTTTCACTTGTTTTGAATGACATTCTGTTCCAAAGAATTTAGAGAAGAATTTAGAGAAGAATTATCAAACGATTTGTTTCTGTCTTGATCCTGAATTTCATTTATTTCCTTACTTATTTATTTTTTATTTAATTCCATTTCCTTGTTATGCACTTTAGATTAGATAAATATGTCATTTCACGGAGAACACGGTGCAGATGATGGAGAAGGAAGAGAAGGAGAGTCGAGATGACGAGTAATATTTAATCAGGGTAATTCGGTCCGTTGTAAAAGTAAATCGATGATATCGTTTGGCCCAGTTGCCAAATAGCCCAGTAGAACCGGGTTACCCAATAAATAGAGTCGGCTCAGCGTGGCGCGATCGTGAAAAACTTGAGCCCGATCGTATACACAATTGACAGAGCCCATTAACCCGCAACGATCAATCACGGTGTTTTCGCGAGATGCGCTCTATCGAATCGCGTGAATAGTCGCGAACTATAATTACTGGAGTTGGTAAAAAGGGTTACCGCGCGTGCAAACGAGGAAAAACTTAAAAAGAAAAAGTAATTAAATCAACGATAACCGAATTGAAATTTCCGCACGATTCGTACGCGACTTGTATTCACAAGAAGCGCACGGTGCTTGTACGCGGAGTGTGATATCTATATTGAAATTATTCCAGGTATGCGCGACTAGCGTGTCTCGTGTCTCTTCTAATTAGTCGGTTCAATTATGGTTCTACGCTTTCTTACCTCGTTGCTGCACGCGTGCACAACAAATTCGAGACACCCAATACAATGTCTAAAATCGGGGCGTAAAATATTTGAAAGACGTCTTTAAGATATCTACAAGTAAGACTTTCAAAGACGTCTTAAAAATATTTTTCAGATGTCTTATATCCCGATTTTAGATATTATGTTGTCTGCGATGTGAACCAGAAGATATTCAAAGATATATAGAAAAGCGTTATTTGTAAGCAATTTGAAGAATTACTAAAAATCGCCCTTTGCCAAAATAACAAAATTAACGAAAAATCACTTTATGGAAAATTAAAAATTTTTACGGCAACGTACAAAGAAAAAATTCGTTCGAAAGGATCTTGCCTATTTTTATATGGATTTTGGGCTCCTTGTGGCTAGTAGGTTTTAGCTGAAATGAAAGATTATTATTAAAATATCAAAATGTTACACAGATATAATCCTCTGAGTTAACGCTATTCAAAGATACATTCTTCGAAATATTAGAGAAACGCATTGAATGGAATTTTTTCTTCAATTTCACGATGTCCAGGGCATCTTCCTGTGACAGTAATATAAACTACTTTAAAATACTTGAAGTATTTAGCTTTTATTATTACTGACTCAGTTAAATACAATCAGCGTTATATATACTGTACCATTTTTTAGATGAAGAGTTATATGATTTTGAATTTTACATATAACACATAAGGTTGAAAATCGCACCCAACGAAAAATAATTCATTGAATCGATGTGAAATCCGCGTCGATTCAATATAATTTCGATTGTTCCGACGTCGATTTGATGTCAATTTGACGTCAATTCGATATTCTTTTTTCGCTGGGCAGAAATAATTTTAATTATAAAATAATAGAATTATAACTGCTCTAATTATAATAGCTTCGACTTATTATATATTATATGAAATATAAATATTTTGACCTATTATATATTATATGAAAGACTAAAGACGGTGTTCATAGTCGGATCTTATATTTAAGGCTGTTAAATTCATTTTCAGATATTTTGTAGCTAATAAAATAAGCCGTACAGCATCTAAAGATTAATTTAAGACAGCCTTAAATGTAAGACCCAACTGTAAATACCGGCTTAAAAAAATCATGTAATAATAAAAAGTTTCAATCTAGGGAATGGTAAAGCATACCGACTGTACCTGGACGTGAGATGCTTAGTCCTTTCAAATCGACTTTTTTTATTTAGAAATAACAATTTCTTTATTTGGAAATAACCATTTTTTATTTAAAAATAAAATAAGTTATGTCGTCGTGTGGAAGAAGAAAAGATAAATAATATTGTTCTTTAGAATCAAATGTCGTGTGGAAGAAGAAAAGATAAATAATATCGTTCTTTAGAATCAAATGAAGAAATTTAACTTCTCAAACGATTTGTCAATTTTAGAAACTTTTTCAACATCGGATATTAAATTTTCAATAATCTATCAATTCCTCTATCCGAGGGGTTCAAATAAGCAAAGTTCTTTGGATTTATTCTCCAATACATAAATGAACTCCTTTAGAATTCCTTTTTTTAGTGTTTGCGCTTCATCATAAAAATATAATTTCGCACCTGACTTGATCGGTTTCCTTGTTACACCGGGATTAGAGTTGATGGATGTCTTGATTATCGGCATGGTAGGTAGCTTGCTGCGCAACTCACTGATAAGCTTATCGTCGCCCGGCGAATTCTCCGCGTCGCTATCACTGTCGGCCGAGCTAACCAGCGATACCATTGTGATCACATCCGTGGTCTTCGAGTCCACGTAAGCTCTCACCCGTCCTCCACATCGGTCTTGCGTCCTCGCATCCTCCTCGTCTTTGCCGCCCATTCCTGAGGATGCTAGGAAACGTCTCTTCGCACTCCTTGATCTCCTCTTCAGAGGCGCCGATCTCACCGATCGTTCGCGCGATATCTAAAGAACAGGCATCTGATTTTCGTGCCACTTAGAGATTTCTTCGATTATTATATGATAATAAAATCATCGTCTATTAAATACTATCAGATATTTAAAAGTTGCAACACTTATCTCGATGAGTTTCATCATGCATTTTATATCCAATAGGAGAATTTGTTTTTCAATGATTCTCAAGTGATACATTTTTCTATTAAACATAGAATATTTTGCTAATTCATCGAAGTAAAAATATTATAACTTTTAACTTTTCGAGTTTAACAGGATTTTATGTCTCTTTATTGGTATTTATTTTTTTAATGGGATATATAAGCTCTAAAAAAATTAATGTTGCAACATATAATCTCAACACAACAAAATAATGATTGTAATGTATATATGTATAAAAAGTCATACATTTTCAGTACAATTTATTTCTATTACAATAAGTAATTCCTGTGTTAACAATTGATGTTATTTTTAAATACAAAAGCTGATTTGAAAGAATTAAGTATCTGATTCCAAAGTCTATCTTACATTGAGAAAAAAATGTTTGGTATTTGTAACTATTTTTAAGTGATATAGGAAAGAATTATAGTCAGAAGAATCATTTCTCTAATAAGTGTTACTACATAGAAAAAAAATAATTCTGTCGATATAACTGAATTTTCCGTTGCCTGGAAACCAGACAAAAACTTGGTTATGGGAACAGAAAAACTCCTGCAGGAAGTTTTTTATTTAGTCACTTACTCTTAGTTGTTTCAACTGAGTTTTAATGTAGCTGAATATTCAAACGAATATTTTTAGTCACGATAACATTTCTTGTCATCAAGTTTTCATTTAGTTTCTATTCAGGTGCAGGAACTGAATTTTCTTTCGTGTATAGTATATACGAGGTCTGTTCAAAAAGTATCGCGAATTTTGAATTTCCGCGGGTTACGTATATTCGATTTTCGATTTTTTTATGGCGTTATGTTGGTACTCTTGTCCCTCACTTATGCCGACAGGTTCGGCCATTTTGAATATTCAGTTTATCTTTGACAGCTGTTTTGCTTGGACGTGTTTTGGCTCGTCTTCGATTTTTGCCTATTCCAAAAAATGGATCAAAGAATCTAACAAAATTAAGTTCGCGGACGCATTCCGAATGTTGACTGTGGCATATGGTGAAGCTACCTTGGACCGAAGCAACGTTTATCGGTGGCACAAAATAGGCCGAGAAGATGTGAACGACGAAGAGCGTGNTATGCCGACAAGTTCGGCCATTTTGAATATTCAGTTTATCTTTGACAGCTGTTTTGCTTGGACGTGTTTTGGCTCGTCTTCGATTTTTGCCTATTCCAAAAAATGGATCAAAGAATCTAACAAAATTAAGTGCGCGGACGCATTCCGAATGTTGACTGTGGCATATGGTGAAGCTACCTTGGACCGAAGCAACGTTTATCGGTGGCACAAAATNATGTTCTCAGAGGGCCGAGAAGATGTGAACGACGAAGAGCGTGCCGGACGCCCGAGCACGTCAACAACAGACGAAAACATTGATGAAGTGAAGAAAATAGTATTGGCCAATCGTCGAATCACCGTTAGAGAAGTTGCTGAGGACCTAAACATATCGATTGGCTCGTGCCATTCGATTTTTACTAATGATTTGGGCATGAGACGGGTCGCCGCGAAATTCGTACCAACGCCCCTGCTCACACATCGTTGCTGTGCGCGAAGTTTTGGCCAAAAACAATACACTAATGATGCCGCAGCCACCGTATTCCCCAGACCTGGCCCCCTGTGACTTTTTCCTGTTTTCGAAACTGAAGAGGCACATGAAAGGACGACGCTACGCTACGATTGAGGAGATAAAGACGGCATCGAAGGAGGAGTTGAACAAGATCACAAAAAATGATTTTTTGAAGTGCTTCGAGGATTGGAAAAAACGTTGGCACAAGTGTATAATATCTGATGGGGATTACTTTGAAGGAGACAAAATAGATATTCATGAATAAATAAATAATTTTTGAAAAAACACAAAATTCGCGATACTTTTTGAACAGACCTCGTAATATCAGTGATAATAACCTTACATGTACATTTCTCCTATTATTTTTTTGGGTTAGAACCATAAGAAGATATAGTTGAGGCCAAAGATGATGATAATTTTAGTGCGATTTCTCGCAGTGTACCTTTGTGGAACCTTCCTCGCTCTTCTCCACAGCGTTTCTGCCAGTCTGCAGCCCACAGATGTTCGGTTTATCGCTTGTCACTTCGGTGAGACTCGGCGTGTCGATCACGATGTTTACCTGCACGCGTGCAGTGGACACAACATTCCCTTCTCCTCCTCCTCGCTTTTGCGGTGGTGCGGAATTCGTTCTTTTCGCTTTCTCCAACGAGATCATGGACGAGCTTTTCGCGAGAATGGCCTGTTTATTCTCGAGAACGATTGACGATCTCACATCCGTCATTGTCGTTTGTTTCTGCGTCGCGGTCTTGTCACTCGGTGTAGCGGACGCGCATCTTATCTCGAGCGACTTCATCGGGACGACCTTATCCGTCGCAGTATATTTGCTTGCTCCTACAGATCCTTTCGTCGATTTTTCGATCATGGGAACGAGAAAAGCACGATTAGTACCGCTGTGAAAACTCGTGCGCTTCTGTTTCGCCGAGGAGAAATCGTCGTTCGCAATTTTCGCTGATATGGCCGCGTTTTCCGGTTTCAAGGATGCGGATGAAGGACTCGAAGAATGGAGGCTCATGCAGTCGATGCTTATATGCGTTCTCTTCTTTTCCTCGGCGCTCATGTTAGCATTATATTCTTCTCTTTCATCTTCTTTCTTCGCGTTTTTCGCCACATTTTCCTCGTTCTCTCTCGAATTGTTCTTCGTTGTTCCGGACGCGACCTCCGGCTTGTCGTTATCGACCTTGACTTCTTTTATTTGATTCTCCAGATCGTCGTTTTTTGATTGGCCGGAAAGATTACTCAGCTTCTCTCCAGTGTTACAACAGGGAACCTTTTCATAACATCGAACAGGATTAGGTTCTTTCCTCGGCAGAGGAGTCGCCGGGGCGGACATCGACAATTCGGAATCACAACGGTTCTCTACAGCGAAACCGTGCGCTAAGAAGATGTCGATGTTCGCTCTATTCTCCTCGCGGTGCTTCCAGGCGAGCCTTAGCCGTTCGGCGAGCTCTTGCCGCGAATAGAGGATCGACGCCTTTTCAGCGCCGACGATGTAGCTTCGACCGCCGGATCGGCCGCTCGTCGTCTGCCTAGGCCGACCTGGGATTTGCCGGGCAACCACTTCCACTCGCTCGAGCTCGCCGTCGCAACCTCGCCGATCATCATTCCATGCGACTCGCACCTGCCAGTGGAGTATAAAACTTAATGAGCAGCGGAAATCTGGTGGTCGCTTTCATAGAAATTTCCCCAGATTTTCTCAGATGTAGCATAGATTCCGATTAGAATACCCAAAATTGTGTCATAATAGGTTATCCCATTATGATACCAATTAGGATCCGATTTTTATTCCAAATATTGGATGAAGCTTTTTTTTTTTATGATATTGATTGCCTGCATATTACGGTTTGCTTCGTTCTGCGTGCGACTGTCATCATCAGAATCAATGACAGTTTGACTAAATATCAGTTTAGGAAATTAACAAACGGGGTTATATATTTTTTAACGTTACTATACTTAATAGCGCGTGTGTGTATTTGTACAATGTAAATACTTAAAGTATTTCGTATATTTTGTTCAGCTGTAGTATAAAATGGAAACCAGAAAAATCTCTGGAACCTATTGGGAATGACCAAATAGGACCTGTTTATGTTTTTCACTTAAAATTATATATTTAGAACATTATATTAACTAGAGAGAACTTACGTAGATTCCCCAATTAGAATTCATAATTATTTTGGGAAATCTGACTAGATCCCATTATTAGATTCTAAGAAATGTTCTATACGAGGCCTACATTTAATTTTTGAGAATTTCTCGCAATGAAGCAGGAGCACTATAGAATTAGCATATAGTATTATTCTAATGTTACTTATGTTTCCGTCTACAATATTTATTTGATGTTTATTTAAACTACTCAGATATGTCGTTATGTTGGCGATTTATACCTAAACTTGAGTTTTTATATTCTCCATCCATAATATAATAATAGATACTATTCGCGATTAACATTGTATAAAATTATTTGTTTTCGTCGACAAAAAGGCCCCACTGAAAATCGAAAGGTTTGGACTGAAAGAAATATATTTTCAAACGATATATTTATCGATTTGAAGATTATTTTCTTTAATTTCATATATTAAAATAATCAAAATAGCCTCTTATTTGCCTTCCTATGGTCAATAATTTTAATTAATGCGCATCAATAGAATCTTTATATAATATTTTATAAAACTTTGGTTCCATTTGATCGAAATAGGAAGACGAAGGTATCGTTAGATCCGTATCGGCTGACGAACCTTGGGTTTTTCAGCCGCATTCCCGGCGAGTTTGCTTCGCGCGATTGGGTTCGCATATATTTGCAAGGACTTGTCGTCTTCCGCCGATCGCTGCCGCCTGATGTGATGTCGGCGCGGTGTCGATTGTTGCAGTGACAATTGCCTGATGGGTCCTCGCATCGTTCTCCTGCTATTGGACATCTTTGAATGCCGATGGTCTCTCAGTGCATGTTATCGACGATGTAAAAGCTCACTCAGCGAAGAAAAACAGCCAGCACTCACGTTTGACGGCGCGCACGGCCGAGCGCCGACTGACTGACTGACTGCTTTCATCCCTTATTCTCTACCACCCTCTGATGTACTAAGACTAAGCCCGATTTACTAACACTCCCGGCCGATAGGCAGATATATCGCTCTTTCTCCATCTCTCTCATTCTCTCTTCCTTCACTTTGAACGGGTGGGGTCAATACATACTGTTACTACACCAGTACTACCATTATGCACAAATGCATGCTCCGTCATTACCTCAATTACAGACACTGTTAATCTTTCAGTCAGGGTGGTCGAACTCGGTGATGTAACATTGCGATGTCTATGCAGGCGTTATATATGGCGCGATATCAGCCCCGAATTTTACGTGAGTCCAATCCGCCCGACGAAATCGATAAAAATGGTAATGAAATGGATAAAAGGGATCTTCGAAGATGGCGACTAATCTCATTGATGTTTTTTTATCGTATCCTTGAGGTGCGCGCTCGTTCATGGCAAATACGGTGGCCTGGATTCGCAAGCCTCAGGGACGAAGAATTAGCATCTCGATTGAAAATCGCATCGCTCATCCGTTCCTTGTGACTCAGACTGGTACACGTCGCTCGCCTTCAGCGCTTCGTCACGTGTCGGAACCACCCTCTCTCGCGTGCCCTTCACCATCGCCCCATCACCGCCGCCAGCTTTTACACCCGGTAGCCACGTGCTGTTGTTTGGAGTCGTCGAAATCACCGCGAGACTCCGTACCAAACTCGAACTCCGCCGGCAGGCAGCCAGTCACCCAGTATTATTGATCAAAACTTTGCCCATCATCTGACAGCTTGTTGTCCGCAGTTGCCATGGCGTCGAGCGATCATTCGAATTCGTCGACGGATCGACTTCTTTTCTCCACTTCGTTCGCCTCCTTGTACCACCCCCGATACTTCGGTTACAACGGCTTGCTAACGATGACGTAGAAATTGAAACGGAGAAACTTTCGTCAAATCGACGAAACTGCCGTCGATTAGACTGGCCGGCCAGCCGAAGGTTTAATTAGCTCTCTTCTTATCAGGAAACTTTGAGCATTGGCAAGAAATGTTCGAAGCTCTGTTTCCTCATATGCAAACGGTTAATAACAAGAGATTAGATTCGATTACGCTGCCTAGTCTACGAGCGTTCTTCCCTTCTTGCCTATTGCGATAATTTATGTTATTTGTGTGTTCTTTCAGAATATGTCGGACTGTGATATATCGTCCAACTTCATCGAACCGAACGATCTCAACAGTCAAGTGTCGAGATTACAAATATCCTTTAATACATATCATTACATATATATTCGCTTGTTGCGTTCAGCGCAATTGATCCTTAACACTTCTTTTATTTCATTTATTACGTATTACTGGCGAGTGAAAGTTTCACTCTCGACACGGAGTGTCTGTTGCAAACGTTGGAACGATGTTTCCTCATTTGCGCGGCCGAGTCGCTCGACAAGCAAGTTTTCCAAAAAATTTTACCGACCGCTCATCGTTCGCTGTTGGAGGTAATTTGATAAATCTTATTACTTATTAATTTTCAAACATTTCATCTATCTAATGCCGCTTTATTTTTAACGCGCTACTATATCATTGATTTTTACAATACCAAAGGTCGTAAAAGCTATCGGCGAAAGAACGAGCGATAATGAGAAAATCCATGATCTGGACGACGTGAAGCACAAATTGCAATTCTGCGATGGACTGCTTGTTTTTTGGTGGAAGTGTATGGAACATGTTTCCGCTTTCAAAAAAATTCGGGCTTTTTATGTTGCATCGCTATGTAATAATCTGCCGGAGACGATAAAAATTATCTTCGAGCATTGCAAAGCCAGGTATCGTATTCATGCACTGAAAAAAGCGATCGGATTGACAAAATCGGTGCTTATCCTTATTACAAAAATATTATGTCCACTGAATACAAATTACATGTTGGTGCAACGATACGTTGCGTTGATACAATTGCTAACTATTGCAGTCGTTGAATCAATTAATAATTGATAATCGATTGCGGTAATTATACAATTTGTTTAATGAACGAAGGATTATGCTTAAAAAAATTTTTCTTATAGATAAATTGATATAGAATATATAGCTGGAAATAATTGATTATATACAATTATATAAAATTACACACACACACACACACACACACACACACACACACACACACACACATATATATAATTGTTATATATATATATCAATATACATATTTATATACAATATATATAAGGGTGCAAATTAATTCAGTGTCTTTTTTAGAAGAAATTGTTATCTTTATTTACGAAAAACTAATACAACATACAAACATATCAATCTTTAAAATATTCGCCCTTATTTTTTAATACTTTGTTTCATTTATCGGGCAGCTGACGAATCCCCTCTCTAGATGATGGCTTTGAATCAATAAAGTTGTCAATGCATTTTCAGGTCTCTTCCATGCTATTAAAATGTATATCTGCCAAGTGGTGTTGAAGCGATAGATAATCGGAATAGATGGTAATTCGAAAGTATTAAGTCCGGTGAGGTTGCATGAGGGAGGATTTCCCAACTTAATGAATACATGGTGTCCTTCGCCCCTTTTGCGACATACAGCCGAGCGTTATCGTGTTGCAAGATGACTTGCCAGATGACTTATTCCATGGCCAGTAAACGGTGTCTTTCTTTCTATTGTGTCGAATGAATAAGTTGTTGATAATATTCAACATTAATTGTCTCACCAAGTAGCAGCAATTCATAATACATCACGTCTTTCATATTCTACCAAATGGACAATAAAACTTTTGCGTGAATATTAAGTTTCGCAGTCGATGGTTGACCAGGATCAAGCCATGATTTTTTTTTAAAGTTGTCGTGCAAAACTCATTTTTCATCGCCAGTAATGATTTTCTACAAAAAGTCCTTTATTTTATATTTTAACAAAAACATCGCCGTGTCGAACCTCCTCTGCTTGCTCTCCGGGCTGAGTTCGTGTGGAATTCATCGGCCAGGTTTCTGAGTTTTTCCCAGCTTATGTAAGCAAATGGAAATTGATTGACGGGTTACTCTTAGTTTAATGCAAACTTATCTTGAGTTTGAACAGTATTTTTAATCAATAACCGCTCAAGCTCCTTATCTTCAAATTTTTTCGGCGCGCCAGGACTTTCTTTATTAACAAGAAAGAAATCATCATCTCTAAACTTTTAGTATTACTTTTTATAAGTTATATGTTACAGCGTCTTCCCCCAAAGATGTGCAAATTATATTTACATCCTCGGCAGTATTTTTTTTACTTGAAAAGTAAAAAGAATGCAGTATCTAATATGTTGTTTGTTTATGGCCATTGTGTTCGATACTGTTTTGAGATGTTATGTCGTCAGTTTTGTCAAATTATATAACGTGTTTTAAACTTTTTTTAATGTGATGTGTGAATGTAAATTGATGCTTCAAAACCCACTAAATGGTGATGAGATATTTGAATTTAAAATGAAGTTTATAATTGATTAATACGTTCGCTGCTAACTACGAGTATACTCGTAGTTGTTAGCGAACGTGTTAAAGATAAAGGCACTGAATTAATTTTCGCATCTAATATATACAGGATGTTGCATTTTAATTTCTTCAAACTTTTTTTTTGAAAAATACGCATTTTTGAAAAATATGTTTCATACGAAAATCATATATTATCATATGTTGACATTTGTTTGCGATGATCTTGAGAAGTGTTATCAAGGTCAATGAAAAATCTTAAATGAAACCCCCCCTATTTTTCATAGCATATCCTTGTAGTTGACATTGAGACATTTCCGAAACAGAGATTGCAAACCCTTTTTCCATAAGAACTTTCCTAGTTATAGGCTTTGAAAGATATACTACCGCCGGCATTAGCGTTAACCAACACACACACGCACGCACGCACGCACGCAAAGAGGTGTAAATCCGGCCGCGCAACTTCCACGTCGTGCATCTTGATTAAAATTAATGCTGGTGGTAAGTTATCTTCGAAGTAATTCGCATAGATTTTAACGGAAATATAGTAGTATTTTGGGAAGCTCTTGACATCAGAATCTGCAATAGGGAGTGCAATTAAAAAAAATTGCTGTGACTTTGACCTGACCTTGATAATGCGTTACAAGGTAAAATTTTTAACAATATTAAATCGACCAATATGTATTATGCAACTTTTTAAAAATATTTTTCTATATAATGCTGTATTTTCGAGATATTTGACCGTTGCTAGACTTTTGGGATATATATATCTAATATTTGATTATATATGTCCATATGAAAAAAATGTTGAATAAAAAAAATAGTTTCATTCAATTAAATGTTGACATCACGAAAAGTCACAAACATAGCATTACTAAGCATTTACTTGTGTTTTTACAACACACTGAGAAAAAATTGTTTGATAGTTATGACTATAACCACATACGTACATAATGAAAAAATTATGATTTCATTTTTGTAGTAAATATTATCATAGTATCAGTGATAATAATTCTTATATTGCTACTTCTTATATCGTTACTACTACTTTTTTATTAGAATAACAATGAGAAAATATAATTGATGTCGAAATTATATCTATAAATTTTGATGAGATTAACCATTTCTTTCGATGTAAATATATACAAGATGTTCTCCACGAGGAAACCGACAAACTTCTAGTTTTAAAAATGACTAATAGAACACTTTAGAAGTTTGTCAGTTTCTTCGCGAGCACTTTCTATAATTACATATGATTATGCGATATCTATTGAATTTTCAATATTACTACGAATATATTATGTAGAGGAGACAATTCGCACATCGAATAATACAGGAAATAAAAATATTGTTGCAAAATCGCAGCCCAAAGACCTACGGGGTATTATTGAGCGGGACGATGCAAGAATTGAAGAATTTGTTTTTGCGGGCGGGCGCGATCTTCAAGCTATTCTTTGCTACTTTAGACGGTGTAATCGTCTTCGACACGGATGTGGAATCGGAAACGGAACTGTTGACGAAAGGTGAGCGATCCTATTACGTCCTAACGACTCTTTAACCCGAACCATTTTCGCCCTTATCGAACACATCCTGCCCTTGCCTTCTCGCCAAAATAGAAAGGTCTCCAATATGACTTCCTATTTGACTGTTACGTACTTATTCGCGAAGAACACTTAGTAAAGTGTAAAGTAGTTCAAATTCTGGATTTGCTTCACTCTCACTTTGATCGCGATCTCTATCTTTTAAACGTCATTTTAAGTTTTATATTTCAGTGGTGGATGCGCATGGTAGCATCGCTTCTATCGCGAACGGGATGGATACGAAAACATATATAGAGATATCAGAAGCGTTCGCCAAGTTGGCTGTCGATTATCAAAGCGATATAAAGTATGCGTCACCGAACAGCGTGATAACGCACCTTGCTCAAATGGCGAAAGATGCGTCTTGTCTTTTGTCCACGATCAAGGTATATAAACATGTGACTGAAAAACGAACAAATAAATATTTGACAATTATAAATGTATATGATGATTATGCACAGGATCAAAACGATAAGAACGTCGAAAGAACTACACTGGTTGTTATGCGTTTGCTGAAAATAGTCGAAAAATTAACGAGGGTTTATGACACATTTCTTACGTATGAAACGTTATTGTGTCTGATTGAACTTTCAACGGGGATGCACGGGTGATGAACCTTTTATTAATCATTTATTTCCTCATTAATGACAAGAATACGAATCGCACTGTTAAAAAAAGAAATATGTGAAAATTATACGAGATCAGAGCCGTATTATTGAAAACTTTGTATTTTATTGACAATATTTGTATAATTATTCTTCACAGATATTCATACCTGAATTTAACAAAAAGCGGTGGAAAAACAATATCAGTTAATGCTGCACCCTTTTTAGATACTATTTTCGATCATGACGATTTTAAACAGGTAAAATCTAAAAGTGTGCCACTACTCTCTCTATTACGATTAGAAATGTTATAATTATTATCTCTGCTATAATTAGATCTGCCCGTACAACGCTCACATTTTAGGCGTATTTTGAGTTCGGGAAAAGGACAGACGTGTGTCAGTTGAATTACCATCTACTTACAATCGCCGTCATGAAAAAACTGAACGGCATGTCTTATGAGCATCACTGCAAATGGTCTTTAGGCGAGGACTCAATCTTAGACATCGCGTTCATGCATATAGAATATCGTAAGTAACGATGTTAGAGCCAAAGTTGAAGCTAATAAAGTAAAGACTTAAATAAAATCAAACCGTTTGCTTCCGTCGATAGTCCAAGGAGAAATCGTTGTCGGAGAATTGCGACTGCCAGGCAACCATGAAATCGGTGAGCGGCCACGTTTGTGCAGTATTTACGAGGCCACTTTAGTACCCATCTGCGACCTGATTAGTCAAATCCCTTCTGAAGCCTTCTACACACTGGAGTTGCTTTTGCTGAAGCATCTGTTATCCGGACGCTTTTGGAGTTCCCTGTTGAGTTCGGACGTTTGGTGCTTCATTGGCAGGTGCTGATTAACATCAAATAGAAAGCGAACAATAAAATTATCGTAATAATTAATTAAGAGTGTATTCTCATTTGAAACGTTTGTAGATGATTTTTAGAATGTTTTTGTAAATAATTTTTAGAATTTTTATTTTAAACTATAAAACGTGCAATTCTGAAGTTTTACAAAAATATTTATTTATTCTTTAACTATATATAATAATTTCTACACATAATTATCTTCGATATTAATAAAGTGATACATCCACTGGGTATCCATTAACTAACAGTAATATAATATCAATGTTAAAATTTCCCACTCAACAATGTAACTCCTATATAACGCACGCATTATATTGCATTTACATTGTTAAGTAAGAAATTATAATATTAATGTTATGTTATTGTTAGTTGGTATTCACTGGGTACAAAAAGACAGTAAAATTATAAAATTGTAATATAACTGTTATAACATTTTTGTTATATAGCTTTTTATTTTCAAGTTATATGGCAGCAACTGAATAGGTTGATTGAGTTGTAGCTATGCCTTTCGTTCAACGCTGCACAAGATTATTTATAATTTTATTAATATTGCCCCAGCAAAAATTTTTAAATATAATTATATATGATCATCAGTGTTTGCCGGTATCTAGATAAAATTATCTAAATAATCATCTAGATTAATAAATCGATCATTTTTATCTTTATGGAAGAATCTTTATGGAAAAATATCTAGATTTTTACTTTATAGAAGAATATCTAGATGGAAGATATACAAAATGTCTTCATCTTCATCTTAGATAAAAACATGTTATCTTATCTGAAAATGATCTGAAATGATGTTATGGTCTATATTCTGAACTCACTTTTCAATAAAATGAATAAAATAATATAGACCTATACGTTAAGCCCGTATCAGACTAGGAATTGGAGATTAGATTTGGACAAAATATAATCGTTTTACTCTAACTTATTGCACCAATTCAGCAATGCAATTAAAAAGAACAAACTATTTGTTTCAATTGATCAATCCACTTTAAGCCCGATCAAACTGTCGATTGTGAAGATCGACCTGACTGCTAATTGCGATTGCTAACTCTTAATGGACCAATTACAATAGACTAGTTACATGACGCTTCACTATGATAGGCCTCTCAAGAGTCGACAATTGTAACAGTCAGTCAGATCAGCCTTCACAGTCAGTAGTTTGATGTGGGATTTATAGAAAAAAGACTGAAATAATGACTGCATTCAGAACAGAACACAGCGATTAGTGAGCAGTCAATGATTATTGGCTTTTTTTGTTAGATCTTTAAATTTAGAATTCTGCGACACTTTCAGTCACAGCAGCAATGTTTTCGGTTGATCTGGCTGGCCGAGCACAGGTTGGGGTCTTTACATCACTAACTTGACCAAAACGCTCCAATTTCTTGATTAGGTTAACAATTGTTGGACGGGAAGGTATTTCATTACGACTGAAAGCAGTACGAACTTAGAAACTGTCTTCGCGAAATTTTAACCATTTTTATAATGAATTTTCACAATTTTTATACGTTGCTAAAGAGTATATCGTTCCATTTTCGTTAACCATATACTTTTCAGTTGCCAGCTACTAAGGAATGGCAGTTCTATCTTTAATAGAGTAAAAATGGCAAAAAATTTAAAATGAAACCTTATAATAGAAAACCTTGTATTTAAGGTTGTCTTAACCCATTTGCATCCATAAGCGGAATATTCCACGCATCGATGCAAATGGGACGATCGTTTCCTATCACCAAGCGCGGAATATTCCGCGAGCTGCGACTTTTTTTTATCACCGCTCGCGGAATATTCCGCATATGACACAGTTCATGTTTTGTTGTCAATCTGTGAACATTTGAGCTATTTTCATTGCATTCTTAAATAAACCATGTTAAATAAACTTTACCAACTATTCGGAAGTCATTTACTGTAGAAGTTTACTATGTACGGTAGAACGAGTGTACTGTAGAAGTTAACGAAAATAATAAAACTGCCGATATACGACCGTGTACGGTGATACGGGCCATCCGTCAGTTGAACGCCGCTGATGTCTGAACACAGAAACTTAAGTAGAGTCATGATGCAAATGGGTTAAATACATCTTCAAAAATTTCTTAGCCAAGAAAATGATTCGTATAGATATTGTTTCGATTATTTTACTGGCTAAGAAATATTTGAAGATGTATTTAAGACGGTCTTTAAATATAAGGAAAAATATAAGATCATATATGAAATTTGCCCCTATATAACCATGTCTGACCATACATAATTAAGTATGATTATGTATAATTAATGATTAATGAGCACGAGCATAATATGGCAGATAGCGCACTGATCTACTATACTAGTGGTTCCGGGTTCGATTCCGATAGAAACTAAAAATATTTACGCTTGTGTCTCCTCTCGGAAAGAAGTGGCAACCTACCAAGAGTATCTTTGCCATGAACGACTCTCAGATTTGCCGTTCGGAACCGGCGTTAAACTGTAGGTTCCATATACTAATCAGCGTGCGCATCACAAGCATTATAAGAGAGGTCATTACACTCGGATACGAGTAACAGGACTCGAAAGATGTATAATTAATTATACTATTGTGCTTTTTTAATGCTATAAAAAATTTATGGCCATTTTTTACTTTGAAATTTATAGAAAGACTTATTAAGACCTGCACAGAGAAAAAATATCACTTCATATCCCTCTGTGGTTTCGATTCCAACGGCGACCGGTCACCCAGCCATCTTCTAACCACGGTCATTATTGCTTTACTATAATGACCGCTAGTACTGATTCCAATGGCTCTTGGCGAATTCGATTGGATGTACTAAGGCTTGTTTATAGCTTTTTTCTTATATTTAAAGATCATTTTAAATACATCTTCAAATATTTCTTAGTCAATAAAATAATCGATACAACATCTATACGGATCGTTTTATTGGCTAAGAAATTTTTGAAGATGTATTTAAGATAAACTTAAATATAAGAATGGATTATAAATAAGCCTTAGTGCGCACCAGTGAATCCAATTGAATTCGTTATCTGACAATGTTTTTTTGACTTATGCTTACATAATGTATCCTTATACTGCTCACAATACATTGTAATGATATATTTATTAACAAACGTAAAATCATTTCAATAATAGATGACATGCAACAAATATTGATATAATGTATGTTGGTATACTAGAGACCGCGTGATTGCTTTTGAGTTTTTAATCGAACATTTTATAATATTAATAGTTAATCTAAATATTAAGTTAGTTGGAAACAAATTCAAGGAGATTAAAGTCAAACAGGAATACTAAATAAAAAAAAATCTTTTTCTTTATGTATATTTTGTGCTAAAATGAGCACAATTTTTAGTAAATATTAGAAACTTACTTGATAAAACATTTTTTATGTACAGGGTGTTTAAAAAAACCATTCAATATTTATATGATAGATAATACACATTATACTGAGTAAAAAAATCTTAGTAAACGTAGGTCGAACGTTCAACCGTTTCTGAAATATAAACATTTTCATATGTTAGCATCATGAGTGACTTATTGGTTTTTATGTGTCGCATGTGACGTGAGAAGATAATCTGTCTAAATCTTTTTCAGTACAAAAGGTTTCGTACAAAAAGTTCCTCCTTATATCTCCATACATGATTGGCATCTTCTTCTTACAGAGTCGCGAATTCTTCTGAAAATTCCAAGTCTCCATCATATTATTTGACAAGCATGCTGGATTTGGTCATGTTATTTTTCTAAGTCATTTATCGGCGAAGAATTCACTATGCTTTTCAAATATTCCCTTAAAAGAGCCCAGAAGATTTAAATCAGGGGATTAAGCGGGTCATGAAACTGATCCATCGCGTCTAATCTACCTTTGACTGAATACTATGTTTAAATGTTCTCTCATATAATGCACAAAATGAATTAGAGCCTCATCATGCATATATCACATCGATAATTTTTGAGCCAAAGATATGTATTCTAAGAACTGAGGTAATGCATTCACCAAGAAATTGAGATAAGCATCAAAGCCGTGATTTAGGAATATTACAAGGCCAATGATCTTTCACAATGCTCATCCAACATACGACTTAACGAAAATCGGTGATAAGTAAATCATGATATTAACATACAAAAATGTTTATATCTCAAAAATGGTTGAGCTTTCGATCTATGTTTATTAAGGTTAATTAAGGTTTTTTTATTCAGTATGGTGAATATTATCTACCATATAGGATGAGGCAAAAATATGGAAACCCTGAAAAATCTAAAAAAATATAAGTTTTACAGAAAAGTGTTTCGGATAAAAGTTATAAGGTTTAAAAAGATCTATTTACTGATCTTATTAGTTTGGCTTTGAATGGCGTCACCAAAGTCGAAACAAGGTCAAGTTGAATTTTTTTAATATAACCTCCTATTATCATATATTTTTATAGCCATTGTTGAGACGTTTTCAGAATATTACAATAAAGCTTCTTTTGGTTAAGAACTTCCTAAGATATTTTAAACATTATTATGATACTTTTTAATATCAAATATGAAATATTTCGTAAAGTAAAGGAAGAGGATCCGGCCATCTAAGGTAAGATTGAGGAAGAATCCGATTATCTAAGGCAAGATCGAGGGAGGATTTATCTTTCTAAAGCAAGTATGATAAATTATAAACAACTGATAATGAGTAGCCATGAAAACAACAGATTTTGAGTAGCTCTGTAATTATTAGAATGTTTATATTGTTCGTTTTATTTTGAAAAAATAGATCCTCCTCTTGCTTTAGACGTCCAGATCTTCCTCTTTTACTTTATGAAATATTCATAACTTATACTAAAATATATATGATAAATTTTAAAATATCCCAGGAAACTTTTAACCAAAAGAAGCTTTATTATAATGTTCTGAAAATTTTTCAACAAGGGCTGTAAAATATGCAATAAAAAATACAGGATCACATTTAAGAAATTTAATTTGATTTTGTCCTGACCTTGGCGATGTCATCTAAGGTCAAATTGA